GCAAATTGCTGGACATCTCAGTAAAGTCGAGCTCCTCTAGACTTTCATGGGCCTTGCTAAAGGAGTGGCTTAGCTTGTCGATATGCTCCAGTAGAACATTTAGAGTGCTGTCACTGTGATCGGCAAGAGCATCTGAATCGACCTTGGATTGTAGCTTTTTTACGCGTTCAAACACCGACTGTACCTTGAGCTTATAAAACCGCACGCGATCTTCGGGAGCAACTGCACTAGCATCTAAATTCGCCATGACGAGTACAGCAAGAGCAACACGATAGAGTTCAAAGTCGTTGGTGCGAGCGCGATTGCAAGAGTAAGTAAATGTATATATAGCGCAGACACAAACTTGGAATAAGTCGTATTTGTCGAGCAGAGTACTTGCAACTTTAATAAACTGGCAAAGAATTATATTATGGTACTCAAATAATATACACGTATGAATTGTTGCACACCGGTACGATTATTATGGACGCGCTCGTATCGCAGCCGTGGTGAAAGAGTGCAATGTCAACGAAGAATAACGGCAAGCATGTAATTACACTGTGCTTATGTAAACTTAATCACTTATAGATTGAAGCTATAGAACACGCAGTCACTAACCATAGACATAGTTCAGAAATTAGTTGATTCTTTATTAGATTGTCAATTGCAGAAGTTTTCGCATGTGTACTACTTTTACGGGCGCCAGTGTATTGCAGACCGAACGAAAGAGTGTCTGGCGAATTGGCAAAGTAACGGCACGCAACTAATCGCTATATACACTGCTTATGTTCACGGGTGTATGTATGTATGTGATGCTGTCAATATATATATGCAAATATGTAAAGAAACGAAAAGAGAATCACGTCGGGGTCACCAAATGTTGAGCTATCGAGATTTTTCGAATAGCTTTAAATTATTAAACGATTGAATTTACTTAGTGATTAGTTTATTAGCGATTATTAGAGTTTACAGAGTTTATGTGATAGACGCGAGCAAGCGACTAGTCTGTCGTGCTGTCCGCTACTATGTTTGTAATAGTCAATCTAACACTGCATCTGCTCTAAACAAGAGTTAATTGCATACTAACTACAATGTACGCGAGCCGGCGGATTAAGCTGAGCCGGTGCGTGGGTGAAAGAGACAACGCAAAAGGGAGAGCGTGATCTCCGTTACAAATTCTCTTACATGATAACATATTCTATGAACTGCCGCTCTTAATTACAATGAAGCGATGATTGCTGAGCCCAACAATATCTTTGTGGATGCGATTTGAAAGTCTGTTGCAGAGCTGCTTCGCGAGCGGACTTCGGCTTTGAAGAAGAAAGCGTTTGATATGCTTCTTGGCCTCAATCAGTTGGAGAGTCTGCTTTCTTACTCGGAATCTAGACATAGATATCTTGCGTGGACATTGAGCATTAGCAAAGTTTGCAGCATCTTTGATATTATTGACAAATATATCAACGGCATCGTCAACATCATCAGCATTGTTGATATCAGTGTTTAGCAGGATTCTGTCATTCAAGTAGTTTTGAAATTTACTAACATTTGCATTCATATTCAGTAGGTGGCCTTTTGCTTTACTGATGATTGGCTTCTCGACCAGCTGAACTAGCAAAGGTAGATGATCGGAGTTGAGCTCAAACGAATCAGAGATGGCTAGCAAATCCCGTCTGATGCCTTTGAAGAGCGCAAAGTCGATGGCCGATGGAGTTTGACGCGAGTTGAATGGGAAATGTGTTGGTGACCCAGTTGCCAAGATATTGCAATTTTCTTGTAATATACAATTGACTAATGTTCTGCCTCTATTACAGGATCTGGCGTTGCCCCACCATTGGCTCTTCGCATTCCAGTCCCCGCCTATTATAAAGATGTCGCCCAGGGATTTAAGCAGATTTTTAAAGTCTTGATCCGACCAGCTAACTTGCGGAGGGCAGTAAATGGCCACAATATTTACGTGCTTGCCGTTTTGTAAGCTGACTGATACCTCAACGCTTTGGTACGTGTCCAAGGATGAGCAGCACATAGCATAATGGCAAATATTTTGCTTGATTATAATTGCCGCGCCACCTCTGCGCCTATTTGTAGGGTGGTTTGCTAAGTACATTATGTATCCGTCAATTGCAGTGCTGTCGTTGTCAGTAAGATGAGTTTCAGATACAAGCATTATATCTATCTGATGCTTAATTAGATACTGTTTTAGTTCAGAGAGCTTATTTGTAATACCAGCAGCATCCCAAATACCAATATTAATGTTGTTAATACTACTAGCGATATGTGCGATAGGTGTATTATTAGACATTGAAGCGCTCATTAGGACCAAATTGGGCCATCAGGCAGGCCGTGAGGGAGGTCACCGACTCAATGAGCTTATCAATTTTAGCCTCTAATCTTGAGAAGCCTTGCACAATCAGATTAGACAGCATATTAGAGTTTGCTTGCTGCTCAGGATTTTGAGGATAGCCAACCCCATTATTAAGGTAAGTCACCTCAGCTGCTTGTTGAGGGTGCTTACGGCGCGCGCTTAGGCTACGGCTTCTTTTTGGCTGCGGAGGCCGTTGGGCACTAGCCTGAGAACGCACATGGTCTAGTTGAAGCAGTTGCTGTTGTTGTTGTTGTTGCTGCTGCTGTTGTTGAAGTCGTTGTTGGGCGAGATTTTTAGCTTTTTGCCTAGACTGGCGCTGTTGGCCATTATTAGGAGCAAAAGTAACAGGCTGATCAAATTGAAGACCCGCCCGGAGGGCAGCTGAATAGCTGGGCCCAGCACTAGCAGTCTGAGGTCGAGGCTGAGGAGGGACTTGCTGGAAAAGATTTGGCAAATTCATTCTACTGCTCTGAGCAGATGAAGTGGGAGCAGGCTTAGTTAAATTGCTAACGATCTTTGTAATCTGCATAGCGCTTTCATTAACTCTTTTCTTGCTTGCCTCTTTAAAAGAAGGGCAGCCTTTGTAGCTCGCAGCATGGGGGCCCGAGCAGTTAGCGCATTTAGCCGGAGTCTGGTCACCTTTCTGTTTGCCGCAGTCAGTGGAGGCGTGATTTTCGCCGCACTTAACGCAGACAAAGGGGCGACGGCAATAATTTTTTGTGTGCCCAAATTTTTGGCACCTATGGCACTGAGCTATTTCGCTCGTTTTGTACGGCCTCTCAACTTTCACCCGTTGATTGCCAATAGCAGTGACTTTTAAGAACTCAGCGTTATTGGCACTGGGAACTAACTCAACTTCGAAGAGATCAAGCGGCTCCTTAGAGAAGCGAGATTTCATACCTCTCAAAAAGCGGACTTGATACCCTAACTTGGCTAATTTCTCACGGATCCAGTGGTCCGGAGTGGAGTAGTGCAAATTTCTAATAATGGCTCTAAAGCCGCGCTCGCTTTTCAACTGGAAGGTATAGTTTTCCACTTTATTTACTTCAAGGTACTTTACCAGCTTGCGATAAGTAGCGACATCCTTGCACTGCACTCTAATACCATGGTTGGCCGTGCGCGTGGTGCCATAATTGTCCTGACCGATGGCTTCATCCAGGCGGATTAGTAGCGACAAGATGTCAGTGACATTTGCCAGGAATAGTGGCGCAGGCTTCACGTTGAGGGGAGCGTCGCGTACGCTAGTAGAAGTGGAAGGTGGAGCAATTTGCACATCGCTGGTAATGCAAACCTTATTGGCGAGGCTGGCTGGCTCCTTCTGTGTGTCCTCAGTCCTTGCAGTTGGTTCGTGGTCGTCAGATGGCGGGATCTCTACATCACTGTCACCCAGATCAATAGAATCCAGTTGAGCACTCTTCTTCTTTGGGCTGTTGCCCTTTTCAGCAGTGCGTTTAACTGCAGTTGCAATTGGTTGCACACTCAATTTAAGCGCCTCCTCAATTGTAATCTGGCCACTTTTGTAAGCCGCCTTGGCTATTTGATAGTTGGCAATTACTTTATCAGCCTTGCTGCTGCCGCTAACACCAGCCGCATTCACTTTAAGTAGCTGAGCCACAGCTCGAGAAGTTGATGGTTTCGCCGAAACCTCACTTTTCTTTACTGGCGCGCTCGATGGCGTGGGCGCAGACAAGAGTGTCGGCGAGCCGAGAAGAGATTCGACTTCCACGTCCATGTCCTCTTCGCCGTCAGCTGCAACATAGCCCCTAGGCATTGTTGCAATTTAATTTGCAAAATTTATTCGTTTTTGCACCGATTAAATGAGATTAATTTTTTTCTGTTTGTATGCCTTGACAGAACACACATTAATGATCTCATATTCCCTTTAGTCTCATTCATATTAGCTGTCAATCAGCTAGATGAAGAGGAAGAGAGAAAATAGAGATACTCTTTATTCATACAATACTTTGACAATAGTATTTTCTTAGAATTAAAATTGCGCCTAAAAGATATCTTTAAAAAATATACATTCGGTCGATATTTTGCGAAACTATGATTAGTTTAAATGGCCACAAGCGCAACAAAAGATAGCAGTGCACCATTGTGATATATGTGTACATATAAAAGAGCAGATCAGAAGTAGATGACATTGATATGCTTAAATTGCTAGTTGTAAACTAATGAGTTAATATAATTAAATTCATTTTCAGCTGCATCTATGAGATGCGCAGATCAATTAGCTGCCATAATGCCGCCATTCAATTCAAAGAGAAAATTCAAGACAAAGTCTAGTCATTTTCCCCATAGGTTGTTTAAGCTAAATATAGTATTAGTAGTATAAGAGTAATATAATTAATAGTAATAGTTGTTTTCCTTTCAATATTTGATTTTCAATGGGTTTTTCTTTTCATTTTAGCATATTTAATTTAGTTAAAATTTATTAGATACATCGCAAGTGCGATCGTGAAAGTGATAGTGCATCACTGCGTTTATATGTCTATCGATATGCAAAGACAAAACATATGTTGTAAAAGCATATGGTGCGAAAAGTGAAGTGCATTAATTGCAAAATTGCAACTGGAAAGTATAGTTTCTAATAAGAATACTAATAAAAGCATTAATAATTGAATATTAATTAATTCATTGTTTTTACAAATTGCAGCAGCTTACTACCAAGTACAAGAGAGTATGTGCACTACAAGGCAGAGATGTGTGTGAAAGCAAGCTAACTGCAAGGTTATGTTAATTATGCAAATGTAAATAAAAGTGTTGATACTTAATATTTTTTGTTTTTCTTTGCAGTATATCATCCAGTGGTACAAGAAGAAGTAGCTGAGAAGACTCCGCGTCCCAAACATCGAGTAGTGCCGCTAGTTTAGTTAAGTGCGTTTGTGTTGATATTAGTCAGTGCACTGTAGTATTTGTTTACTGCATGTATGCCTATACATGCAAAATAAAACTTTAATTGAATATAAATATCCAATTTGAGTTTTATTTGCTAGAATACCCTTTATAGGATATGTGCAGTCGATCCAATTTACAGGTGAGTTGTTGCATATACTGATGGCCAATTGGAATTCTAATTGAATTGCATATTCTTTTTAGTGTATATGCTGCAATCAGTTGCTTGGAGACGACCCGCTTTGCTCAGCCGGAGGGTTGTCTGGATTTGTGTTGTGTGTGCGCAAAGTGCCTGTAGTGGGTGGCAACGGCGCCAGTTGCTGGAAGATTGGCAGGCGCGACTGTGAGGCAGCTGCGTTGCCTATGTTGAGGGCCACCTCTGAAGAGGATGAGTGTGTGGCAGCGTCATTTGGTGGAGCGTCGTTGCGACGAGCTGCATCGTTGCGAAGAGCCTCGTATCTGCGTCGGGCTGCTATTCTGCGAAGGTTTTCGCTTGTGTTGCGTGTTGAAGCTGGATACGATCTAGTGAGCCTTGCACTCACAATATTGCGACTGTGCTCACGGAAAGTAATCGGGCCATACACCGGAGGATGACGGCGAAGATAACTAGCACGGAATTCCGCATCTTCTTCAGCTTGTTTCTAGGTGAGGTGCCTGCTGGCGGCTGCGCTCTCGACCGATCGACCGATCTCGCTGCCATCCAACGAGCAATTGGCTGGGCTGCCCACTCCTGCCATTCACCTCCACCAGGCATGGCAGGGCGTGGGCTGTAAATATCTCAATCGATACCTAGTATCATTTGTTTAGAAATTAAGTGGCGCCTGAAAACATGCTACGCAGAGCAGTCAGGGCTCGAGTTGCTGGGGAACTGCTCAGCCAGGGCTGAGTAGATTATTGGCATTACTATCGTAGTTAATAAATGTTATCGATATGCGATCATTTTGAATGGCAACTTGGAGCTATTGTGACTTAGAACTATATTTACAAATAACAATAGGAAAACTTAAATTAACTTAGCTAATAATACTAATTATTTTCTATTTATTTACAGGTGAGGAGACATCTAGGCGAGGAAACCATCAGGACCATCAGGGACAGACGGCCTCCGTCAGTGGCAGCACAATCGGTGGAAATTATGCAGGACAAGATGAATGGCTGCTGGCACCGCAATTTGGACCAGCGACACATGGTAAATATTAGGCATCTCGAACTGGCTGGTAGCTAGCACCAGCACCATCAGATCCTCAAATGGCAGAAAGCAGGTATGTGGACATCATTATTGACAGTTTACTGAGATCTGTTCAATTACAGATTCAGTAAATCAACTGCATCCATCGGGAGAGCAGGTAAGTGGTCATCATTATTGGCAATTTACTGAACTCTGTTCAATTACAGATTCAGCAATTTCTGTTCGTTTTTCTGTTTGTATGTCTAGGCAGAACACACATTAGTGATCTCCGCTTCTTCCCTACTCATACATGATCAGCTGACCAGCAGCTGCATGACGAGGGGAAGATAGTACGGAGATACATTTTTATTCAAACAATACTTTACAATAGCATTTCTTAAGAATATGAGTAGCGCCTATAAGATACTTAGAAATATACAGAAGGTCTATATTTACCAAAACTTTTCATAAAATGATTCAATTTAAATGGCCATAAGTGCACAAGAATAACAGTGCAGCTTAATGTTACAAAATACAGATAAAAAGAGCAATTTAAAGATAATACAAAATGACAATAAAGTGCTTGAGTAGCTGATAATAGACTAATATGATAACTAAGATATAAGTTTTACAATAGTAATAGATAGCATTAATTAATATAATTCAATTTTCTTTTTCCATTAATAAGCATCTGCAAGATGCACTGAGAAATTAGCCCAGAGTAGCTAATTGGAATTATGGAGAAAAATCGAGACAAAGTCTGGTCATTTTCTCCAATATGGGCATAAGCTAAAAATAGTTTAAATTACAGAAAATTAATGATAATTAATATAGATAATTATTTTTTTTTTCATTTTACATTTGAGTTGCAATAGCTAAAAGAATATGAACAACTGTCACCATACAACGTTTGTGCAGTAGTAAGTTGTTACATAGTTATCGGTGAGTTATCGAGAGTAACTACATATATGGCAAGTCAAAGACTATGAACAATAAGAATTAACAATTGATAAAAATTATTGATATTAAAGTTCTAAAGTTCATGTTATTAATTAATTATATACTAGTATTAATTATTATTAAGTTAAGTTTACATATTTACAATGTTTATGCATAGCGATATTTGCTGCAATATATCGTATGTGTAAACATATGTTTGATTTTGATTGCAACTATATAATAATTATTTTTGAATTAATTTAATATAGTTTAAAATTCATAAAAAATTTAATAATTTGTATTTAAAATAGTTTTTCAATTCATTTTAGCTTTTTTTTTCTGTTTGTATGCCTTGACAGAACACACATTAATGATCTCATATTCCCTTTAGTCTCATTCATATTAGCTGTCAATCAGCTAGATGAAGAGGAAGAGAGAAAATAGAGATGCTCTTTATTCATACAATACTTTGACAATAGTATTTTCTTAGAATTAAAATTGCGCGTAAAAGATATCTTTAAATAATATACATTCGGTCGATATTTTGCGAAACTATGATTAGTTTAAATGGCCACAAGCGCAACAAAAGATAGCAGTGCACCATTGTGATATATGTGTACGTATAAAAGAGCAGATCAGAAGTAGATGACATTGATATGCTTAAATTGCTAGTTGTAAACTAATGAGTTAATATAATTAAATTCATTTTCAGCTGCATCTATGAGATGCGCAGATCAATTAGCTGCCATAATGCCGCCATTCAATTCAAAGAGAAAATTCAAGACAAAGTCTAGTCATTTTCCCCATAGGTTGTTTAAGCTAAATATAGTATTAGTAGTATAAGAGTAATAGTTGTTTTCCTTTCAATATTTGATTTTCAATGGGTTTTTCTTTTCATTTTAGCATATTTAATTTAGTTAAAATTTATTAGATACATCGCAAGGGCGATCGTGAAAGTGATAGTGCATCACTGCGTTTATATGTCTATCGATATGCAAAGACAAAACATATGTTGCAAAAGCATATGGTGCGAAAAGTGATGTGCATTAATTGCAAAATTGCAACTGGAAAGTATAGTTTCTAATAAGAATACTAATAAAAGCATTAATAATTGAATATTAATTAATTCATTGTTTTTACAAATTGCAGCAGCTTACTACCAAGTACTAGAGAGTATGTGCACTACAAGGCAGAGATGTGTGTGAAAGCAAGCTAACTGCAAGGTTATGTTAATTATGCAAATGTAAATAAAAGTGTTGATACTTAATATTTTTTGTTTTTCTTTGCAGTATATCATCCAGTGGTACAAGAAGAAGTAGCTGAGAAGACTCCGCGTCCCAAACATCGAGTAGTGCCGCTAGTTTAGTTAAGTGCGTTTGTGTTGATATTAGTCAGTGCACTGTAGTATTTGTTTACTGCATGTATGCCTATACATGCAAAATAAAACTTTAATTGAATATAAATATCCAATTTGAGTTTTATTTGCTAGAATACCCTTTATAGGATATGTGCAGTCGATCCAATTTACAGGTGAGTTGTTGCATATACTGATGGCCAATTGGAATTCTAATTGAATTGCATATTCTTTTTTAGTGTATATGCTGCAATCAGTTGCTTGGAGACGACCCGCTTTGCTCAGCCGGAGGGTTGTCTGGATTTGTGTTGTGTGTGCGCAAAGTGCCTGTAGTGGGTGGCAACGGCGCCAGTTGCTGGAAGATTGGCAGGCGCGACTGTGAGGCAGCTGCGTTGCCTATGTTGAGGGCCACCTCTGAAGAGGATGAGTGTGTGGCAGCGTCATTTGGTGGAGCGTCGTTGCGACGAGCTGCATCGTTGCGAAGAGCCTCGTATCTGCGTCGGGCTGCTATTCTGCGAAGGTTTTCGCTTGTGTTGCGTGTTGAAGCTGGATATTTTTTTCTGTTTGTATGCCTTGACAGAACACACATTAATGATCTCATATTCCCTTTAGTCTCATTCATATTAGCTGTCAATCAGCTAGATGAAGAGGAAGAGAGAAAATAGAGATGCTCTTTATTCATACAATACTTTGACAATAGTATTTTCTTAGAATTAAAATTGCGCCTAAAAGATATCTTTAAAGAATATACATTCGGTCGATATTTTGCGAAACTATGATTAGTTTAAATGGCCACAAGCGCAACAAAAGATAGCAGTGCACCATTGTGATATATGTGTACGTATAAAAGAGCAGATCAGAAGTAGATGACATTGATATGCTTAAATTGCTAGTTGTAAACTAATGAGTTAATATAATTAAATTCATTTTCAGCTGCATCTATGAGATGCGCAGATCAATTAGCTGCCATAATGCCGCCATTCAATTCAAAGAGAAAATTCAAGACAAAGTCTAGTCATTTTCCCCATAGGTTGTTTAAGCTAAATATAGTATTAGTAGTATAAGAGTAATATAATTAATAGTAATAGTTGTTTTCCTTTCAATATTTGATTTTCAATGGGTTTTTCTTTTCATTTTAGCATATTTAATTTAGTTAAAATTTATTAGATACATCGCAAGTGCGATCGTGAAAGTGATAGTGCATCACTGCGTTTATATGTCTATCGATATGCAAAGACAAAACATATGTTGTATAAGCATATGGTGCGAAAAGTGAAGTGCATTAATTGCAAAATTGCAACTGGAAAGTATAGTTTCAAATAAGAATACTAATAAAAGCATTAAAAATTGAATATTAATTAATTCATTGTTTTTACAAATTGCAGCAGCTTACTACCAAGTACTAGAGAGTATGTGCACTACAAGGCAGAGATGTGTGTGAAAGCAAGCTAACTGCAAGGTTATGTTAATTATGCAAATGTAAATAAAAGTGTTGATACTTAATATTTTTTGTTTTTCTTTGCAGTATATCATCCAGTGGTACAAGAAGAAGTAGCTGAGAAGACTCCGCGTCCCAAACATCGAGTAGTGCCGCTAGTTTAGTTAAGTGCGTTTGTGTTGATATTAGTCAGTGCACTGTAGTATTTGTTTACTGCATGTATGCCTATACATGCAAAATAAAACTTTAATTGAATATAAATATCCAATTTGAGTTTTATTTGCTAGAATACCCTTTATAGGATATGTGCAGTCGATCCAATTTACAGGTGAGTTGTTGCATATACTGATGGCCAATTGGAATTCTAATTGAATTGCATATTCTTTTTAGTGTATATGCTGCAATCAGTTGCTTGGAGACGACCCGCTTTGCTCAGCCGGAGGGTTGTCTGGATTTGTGTTGTGTGTGCGCAAAGTGCCTGTAGTGGGTGGCAACGGCGCCCGTTGCTGGAAGATTGGCAGGCGCGACTGTGAGGCAGCTGCGTTGCCTATGTTGAGGGCCACCTCTGAAGAGGATGAGTGTGTGGCAGCGTCATTTGGTGGAGCGTCGTTGCGACGAGCTGCATCGTTGCGAAGAGCCTCGTATCTGCGTCGGGCTGCTATTCTGCGAAGGTTTTCGCTTGTGTTGCGTGTTGAAGCTGGATATTTTTTTCTGTTTGTATGCCTTGACAGAACACACATTAATGATCTCATATTCCCTTTAGTCTCATTCATATTAGCTGTCAATCAGCTAGATGAAGAGGAAGAGAGAAAATAGAGATGCTCTTTATTCATACAATACTTTGACAATAGTATTTTCTTAGAATTAAAATTGCGCCTAAAAGATATCTTTAAAGAATATACATTCGGTCGATATTTTGCGAAACTATGATTAGTTTAAATGGCCACAAGCGCAACAAAAGATAGCAGTGCACCATTGTGATATATGTGTACGTATAAAAGAGCAGATCAGAAGTAGATGACATTGATATGCTTAAATTGCTAGTTGTAAACTAATGAGTTAATATAATTAAATTCATTTTCAGCTGCATCTATGAGATGCGCAGATCAATTAGCTGCCATAATGCCGCCATTCAATTCAAAGAGAAAATTCAAGACAAAGTCTAGTCATTTTCCCCATAGGTTGTTTAAGCTAAATATAGTATTAGTAGTATAAGAGTAATATAATTAATAGTAATAGTTGTTTTCCTTTCAATATTTGATTTTCAATGGGTTTTTCTTTTCATTTTAGCATATTTAATTTAGTTAAAATTTATTAGATACATCGCAAGTGCGATCGTGAAAGTGATAGTGCATCACTGCGTTTATATGTCTATCGATATGCAAAAGACAAAACATATGTTGTATAAGCATATGGTGCGAAAAGTGAAGTGCATTAATTGCAAAATTGCAACTGGAAAGTATAGTTTCTAATAAGAATACTAATAAAAGCATTAATAATTGAATATTAATTAATTCATTGTTTTTACAAATTGCAGCAGCTTACTACCAAGTACTAGAGAGTATGTGCACTACAAGGCAGAGATGTGTGTGAAAGCAAGCTAACTGCAAGGTTATGTTAATTATGCAAATGTAAATAAAAGTGTTGATACTTAATATTTTTTGTTTTTCTTTGCAGTATATCATCCAGTGGTACAAGAAGAAGTAGCTGAGAAGACTCCGCGTCCCAAACATCGAGTAGTGCCGCTAGTTTAGTTAAGTGCGTTTGTGTTGATATTAGTCAGTGCACTGTAGTATTTGTTTACTGCATGTATGCCTATACATGCAAAATAAAACTTTAATTGAATATAAATATCCAATTTGAGTTTTATTTGCTAGAATACCCTTTATAGGATATGTGCAGTCGATCCAATTTACAGGTGAGTTGTTGCATATACTGATGGCCAATTGGAATTCTAATTGAATTGCATATTCTTTTTTAGTGTATATGCTGCAATCAGTTGCTTGGAGACGACCCGCTTTGCTCAGCCGGAGGGTTGTCTGGATTTGTGTTGTGTGTGCGCAAAGTGCCTGTAGTGGGTGGCAACGGCGCCAGTTGCTGGAAGATTGGCAGGCGCGACTGTGAGGCAGCTGCGTTGCCTATGTTGAGGGCCACCTCTGAAGAGGATGAGTGTGTGGCAGCGTCATTTGGTGGAGCGTCGTTGCGACGAGCTGCATCGTTGCGAAGAGCCTCGTATCTGCGTCGGGCTGCTATTCTGCGAAGGTTTTCGCTTGTGTTGCGTGTTGAAGCTGGATACGATCTAGTGAGCCTTGCACTCACAATATTGCGACTGTGCTCACGGAAAGTAATCGGGCCATACACCGGAGGATGACGGCGAAGATAACTAGCACGGAATTCCGCATCTTCTTCAGCTTGTCTTCGCTGTTGTCGCTGAGAGCGCATTTCAATTTCGTTAGCCAGGTGAGTATTTACGAGGCTAGAGTATCTGGGCATTGTTAGTCGCTGTGGGACAAACGGATCATGGGCTATGCTTCTAGCCTCATTGTTGCTATGTACTCGTAGTCGCTCGTAGTACTTTGAGCAGATATTATTAAATTGCTCATCCACAGATAAGACACCAAATTCAGATCTGATGCGAGCATTTGAAACAAAATATTGAGCGCCAGATACAGTTCTCAGTGCTTTGTTTTGTATGACTCTGATGCGATCAAACTGAGTTTCAGACATTTTTCTGTTGGTATGTTGCAAAGAACACACAATAATGATCTCCACTCTTCACATCTCATTCATGATCAGCTGTCTAGCAGCTGCATGGACGAGGGGAAGAAAGGGTGGAGATACTTTTTATTCAAATAATACTTTACATTAGCATTTCTTAAGAATATAAGTGGCGCCTATTTGATACTTAGAAATATACATTAGGACGATAATTGGCGAAACTTTCATAATATGATTCATTTTAAATGGCCACTGGTGCATCTAACAATAATAGAGCAGCGTAGTGTTACAATATATATATATAAGAGCAATTTAAAGATAGTAATAGATAACAATAAAGTGCTTAAATGGCTGATTATAGACTAAATTAGTTAGATAAGATATATGATTTACAAAGTAAGAGGTGGCATTATTTAATTTAATTCAATTTTTTCATTATTATGCATCCACAAGATGCGCAGAAAAATTTGCCCAAAGTAATGTGGCCAATTTGAATTATAAAGAAAAATCGAGACAAAGTCTGGTCATTTTCTCCATTCTGTGCTTAACCTTTCTGTTTGTATGCCTTGACACACATTAATGATCTCATATTCCCTTTAGTCTCATTCATATTAGCTGTCAATCAGCTAGATGAAGAGGAAGAGAGAAAATAGAGATGCTCTTTATTCATACAATACTTTGACAATAGTATTTTCTTAGAATTAAAATTGCGCCTAAAAGATATCTTTAAAGAATATACATTCGGTCGATATTTTGCGAAACTATGATTAGTTTAAATGGCCACAAGCGCAACAAAAGATAGCAGTGCACCATTGTGATATATGTGTACGTATAAAAGAGCAGATCAGAAGTAGATGACATTGATATGCTTAAATTGCTAGTTGTAAACTAATGAGTTAATATAATTAAATTCATTTTCAGCTGCATCTATGAGATGCGCAGATCAATTAGCTGCCATAATGCCGCCATTCAATTCAAAGAGAAAATTCAAGACAAAGTCTAGTCATTTTCCCCATAGGTTGTTTAAGCTAAATATAGTATTAGTAGTATAAGAGTAATATAATTAATAGTAATAGTTGTTTTCCTTTCAATATTTGATTTTCAATGGGTTTTTCTTTTCATTTTAGCATATTTAATTTAGTTAAAATTTATTAGATACATCGCAAGTGCGATCGTGAAAGTGATAGTGCATCACTGCGTTTATATGTCTATCGATATGCAAAGACAAAACATATGTTGTATAAGCATATGGTGCGAAAAGTGAAGTGCATTAATTGCAAAATTGCAACTGGAAAGTATAGTTTCTAATAAGAATACTAATAAAAGCATTAATAATTGAATATTAATTAATTCATTGTTTTTACAAATTGCAGCAGCTTACTACCAAGTACTAGAGAGTATGTGCACTACAAGGCAGAGATGTGTGTGAAAGCAAGCTAACTGCAAGGTTATGTTAATTATGCAAATGTAAATAAAAGTGTTGATACTTAATATTTTTTGTTTTTCTTTGCAGTATATCATCCAGTGGTACAAGAAGAAGTAGCTGAGAAGACTCCGCGTCCCAAACATCGAGTAGTGCCGCTAGTTTAGTTAAGTGCGTTTGTGTTGATATTAGTCAGTGCACTGTAGTATTTGTTTACTGCATGTATGCCTATACATGCAAAATAAAACTTTAATTGAATATAAATATCCAATTTGAGTTTTATTTGCTAGAATACCCTTTATAGGATATGTGCAGTCGATCCAATTTACAGGTGAGTTGTTGCATATACTGATGGCCAATTGGAATTCTAATTGAATTGCATATTCTTTTTTAGTGTATATGCTGCAATCAGTTGCTTGGAGACGACCCGCTTTGCTCAGCCGGAGGGTTGTCTGGATTTGTGTTGTGTGTGCGCAAAGTGCCTGTAGTGGGTGGCAACGGCGCCAGTTGCTGGAAGATTGGCAGGCGCGACTGTGAGGCAGCTGCGTTGCCTATGTTGAGGGGCCACCTCTGAAGAGGATGAGTGTGTGGCAGCGTCATTTGGTGGAGCGTCGTTGCGACGAGCTGCATCGTTGCGAAGAGCCTCGTATCTGCGTCGGGCTGCTATTCTGCGAAGGTTTTCGCTTGTGTTGCGTGTTGAAGCTGGATACGATCTAGTGAGCCTTGCACTCACAATATTGCGACTGTGCTCACGGAAAGTAATCGGGCCATACACCGGAGGATGACGGCGAAGATAACTAGCACGGAATTCCGCATCTTCTTCAGCTTGTCTTCGCTGTTGTCGCTGAGAGCGCATTTCAATTTCGTTAGCCAGGTGAGTATTTACGAGGCTAGAGTATCTGGGCATTGTTAGTCGCTGTGGGACAAACGGATCATGGGCTATGCTTCTAGCCTCATTGTTGCTATGTACTCGTAGTCGCTCGTAGTACTTTGAGCAGATATTATTAAATTGCTCATCCACAGATAAGACACCAAATTCAGATCTGATGCGAGCATTTGAAACAAAATATTGAGCGCCAGATACAGTTCTCAGTGCTTTGTTTTGTATGACTCTGATGCGATCAAACTGAGTTTCAGACATTTTTTCTGTTGGTATGTTGCAAAGAACACACAATAATGATCTCCACTCTTCACATCTCATTCATGATCAGCTGTCTAGCAGCTGCATGACGAGGGGAAGAAAGGGTGGAGATACTTTTATTCAAATAATACTTTACATTAGCATTTCTTATGAATATAAGTGGCGCCTATTTGATACTTAGAAATATACATTAGGACGATAATTGGCGAAACTTTCATAATATGATTCATTTTAAATGGCCACTGGTGCATCTAACAATAATAGAGCAGCGTAGTGTTACAATATATATATATAAGAGCAATTTAAAGATAGTAATAGATAACAATAAAGTGCTTAAATGGCTGATTATAGACTAAATTAGTTAGATAAGATATATGATTTACAAAGTAAGAGGTGGCATTATTTAATTTAATTCAATTTTTTCATTATTATGCATCCACAAGATGCGCAGAAAAATTTGCCCAAAGTAATGTGGCCAATTTGAATTATAAAGAAAAATCGAGACAAAGTCTGGTCATTTTCTCCATTCTGTGCTTAACCTTTCTGTTTGTATGCCTTGACACACATTAATGATCTCATATTCCCTTTAGTCTCATTCATATTAGCTGTCAATCAGCTAGATGAAGAGGAAGAGAGAAAATAGAGATGCTCTTTATTCATACAATACTTTGACAATAGTATTTTCTTAGAATTAAAATTGCGCCTAAAAGATATCTTTAAAGAATATACATTCGGTCGATATTTTGCGAAACTATGATTAGTTTAAATGGCCACAAGCGCAACAAAAGATAGCAGTGCACCATTGTGATATATGTGTACGTATAAAAGAGCAGATCAGAAGTAGATGACATTGATATGCTTAAATTGCTAGTTGTAAACTAATGAGTTAATATAATTAAATTCATTTTCAGCTGCATCTATGAGATGCGCAGATCAATTAGCTGCCATAATGCCGCCATTCAATTCAAAGAGAAAATTCAAGACAAAGTCTAGTCATTTTCCCCATAGGTTGTTTAAGCTAAATATAGTATTAGTAGTATAAGAGTAATATAATTAATAGTAATAGTTGTTTTCCTTTCAATATTTGATTTTCAATGGGTTTTTCTTTTCATTTTAGCATATTTAATTTAGTTAAAATTTATTAGATACATCGCAAGTGCGATCGTGAAAGTGATAGTGCATCACTGCGTTTATATGTCTATCGATATGCAAAGACAAAACATATGTTGTATAAGCATATGGTGCGAAAAGTGAAGTGCATTAATTGCAAAATTGCAACTGGAAAGTATAGTTTCTAATAAGAATACTAATAAAAGCATTAATAATTGAATATTAATTAATTCATTGTTTTTACAAATTGCAGCAGCTTACTACCAAGTACTAGAGAGTATGTGCACTACAAGGCAGAGATGTGTGTGAAAGCAAGCTAACTGCAAGGTTATGTTAATTATGCAAATGTAAATAAAAGTGTTGATACTTAATATTTTTTGTTTTTCTTTGCAGTATATCATCCAGTGGTACAAGAAGAAGTAGCTGAGAAGACTCCGCGTCCCAAACATCGAGTAGTGCCGCTAGTTTAGTTAAGTGCGTTTGTGTTGATATTAGTCAGTGCACTGTAGTATTTGTTTACTGCATGTATGCCTATACATGCAAAATAAAACTTTAATTGAATATAAATATCCAATTTGAGTTTTATTTGCTAGAATACCCTTTATAGGATATGTGCAGTCGATCCAATTTACAGGTGAGTTGTTGCATATACTGATGGCCAATTGGAATTCTAATTGAATTGCATATTCTTTTTAGTGTATATGCTGCAATCAGTTGCTTGGAGACGACCCGCTTTGCTCAGCCGGAGGGTTGTCTGGATTTGTGTTGTGTGTGCGCAAAGTGCCTGTAGTGGGTGGCAACGGCGCCAGTTGCTGGAAGATTGGCAGGCGCGACTGTGAGGCAGCTGCGTTGCCTATGTTGAGGGCCACCTCTGAAGAGGATGAGTGTGTGGCAGCGTCATTTGGTGGAGCGTCGTTGCGACGAGCTGCATCGTTGCGAAGAGCCTCGTATCTGCGTCGGGCTGCTATTCTGCGAAGGTTTTCGCTTGTGTTGCGTGTTGAAGCTGGATATTTTTTTCTGTTTGTATGCCTTGACAGAACACACATTAATGATCTCATATTCCCTTTAGTCTCATTCATATTAGCTGTCAATCAGCTAGATGAAGAGGAAGAGAGAAAATAGAGATGCTCTTTATTCATACAATACTTTGACAATAGTATTTTCTTAGAATTAAAATTGCGCCTAAAAGATATCTTTAAAGAATATACATTCGGTCGATATTTTGCGAAACTATGATTAGTTTAAATGGCCACAAGCGCAACAAAAGATAGCAGTGCACCATTGTGATATATGTGTACGTATAAAAGAGCAGATCAGAAGTAGATGACATTGATATGCTTAAATTGCTAGTTGTAAACTAATGAGTTAATATAATTAAATTCATTTTCAGCTGCATCTATGAGATGCGCAGATCAATTAGCTGCCATAATGCCGCCATTCAATTCAAAGAGAAAATTCAAGACAAAGTCTAGTCATTTTCCCCATAGGTTGTTTAAGCTAAATATAGTATTAGTAGTATAAGAGTAATATAATTAATAGTAATAGTTGTTTTCCTTTCAATATTTGATTTTCAATGGGTTTTTCTTTTCATTTTAGCATATTTAATTTAGTTAAAATTTATTAGATACATCGCAAGTGCGATCGTGAAAGTGATAGTGCATCACTGCGTTTATATGTCTATCGATATGCAAAGACAAAACATATGTTGTATAAGCATATGGTGCGAAAAGTGAAGTGCATTAATTGCAAAATTGCAACTGGAAAGTATAGTTTCTAATAAGAATACTAATAAAAGCATTAAAAATTGAATATTAATTAATTCATTGTTTTTACAAATTGCAGCAGCTTACTACCAAGTACTAGAGAGTATGTGCACTACAAGGCAGAGATGTGTGTGAAAGCAAGCTAACTGCAAGGTTATGTTAATTATGCAAATGTAAATAAAAGTGTTGATACTTAATATTTTTTTGTTTTTCTTTGCAGTATATCATCCAGTGGTACAAGAAGAAGTAGCTGAGAAGACTCCGCGTCCCAAACATCGAGTAGTGCCGCTAGTTTAGTTAAGTGCGTTTGTGTTGATATTAGTCAGTGCACTGTAGTATTTGTTTACTGCATGTATGCCTATACATGCAAAATAAAACTTTAATTGAATATAAATATCCAATTTGAGTTTTATTTGCTAGAATACCCTTTTATAGGATATGTGCAGTCGATCCAATTTACAGGTGAGTTGTTGCATATACTGATGGCCAATTGGAATTCTAATTGAATTGCATATTCTTTTTTAGTGTATATGCTGCAATCAGTTGCTTGGAGACGACCCGCTTTGCTCAGCCGGAGGGTTGTCTGGATTTGTGTTGTGTGTGCGCAAAGTGCCTGTAGTGGGTGGCAACGGCGCCAGTTGCTGGAAGATTGGCAGGCGCGACTGTGAGGCAGCTGCGTTGCCTATGTTGAGGGCCACCTCTGAAGAGGATGAGTGTGTGGCAGCGTCATTTGGTGGAGCGTCGTTGCGACGAGCTGCATCGTTGCGAAGAGCCTCGTATCTGCGTCGGGCTGCTATTCTGCGAAGGTTTTCGCTTGTGTTGCGTGTTGAAGCTGGATATTTTTTTCTGTTTGTATGCCTTGACAGAACACACATTAATGATCTCATATTCCCTTTAGTCTCATTCATATTAGCTGTCAATCAGCTAGATGAAGAGGAAGAGAGAAAATAGAGATGCTCTTTATTCATACAATACTTTGACAATAGTATTTTCTTAGAATTAAAATTGCGCCTAAAAGATATCTTTAAAGAATATACATTCGGTCGATATTTTGCGAAACTATGATTAGTTTAAATGGCCACAAGCGCAACAAAAGATAGCAGTGCACCATTGTGATATATGTGTACGTATAAAAGAGCAGATCAGAAGTAGATGACATTGATATGCTTAAATTGCTAGTTGTAAACTAATGAGTTAATATAATTAAATTCATTTTCAGCTGCATCTATGAGATGCGCAGATCAATTAGCTGCCATAATGCCGCCATTCAATTCAAAGAGAAAATTCAAGACAAAGTCTAGTCATTTTCCCCATAGGTTGTTTAAGCTAAATATAGTATTAGTAGTATAAGAGTAATATAATTAATAGTAATAGTTGTTTTCCTTTCAATATTTGATTTTCAATGGGTTTTTCTTTTCATTTTAGCATATTTAATTTAGTTAAAATTTATTAGATACATCGCAAGTGCGATCGTGAAAGTGATAGTGCATCACTGCGTTTATATGTCTATCGATATGCAAAGACAAAACATATGTTGTATAAGCATATGGTGCGAAAAGTGAAGTGCATTAATTGCAAAATTGCAACTGGAAAGTATAGTTTCTAATAAGAATACTAATAAAAGCATTAATAATTGAATATTAATTAATTCATTGTTTTTACAAATTGCAGCAGCTTACTACCAAGTACTAGAGAGTATGTGCACTACAAGGCAGAGATGTGTGTGAAAGCAAGCTAACTGCAAGGTTATGTTAATTATGCAAATGTAAATAAAAGTGTTGATACTTAATATTTTTTGTTTTTCTTTGCAGTATATCATCCAGTGGTACAAGAAGAAGTAGCTGAGAAGACTCCGCGTCCCAAACATCGAGTAGTGCCGCTAGTTTAGTTAAGTGCGTTTGTGTTGATATTAGTCAGTGCACTGTAGTATTTGTTTACTGCATGTATGCCTATACATGCAAAATAAAACTTTAATTGAATATAAATATCCAATTTGAGTTTTATTTGCTAGAATACCCTTTATAGGATATGTGCAGTCGATCCAATTTACAGGTGAGTTGTTGCATATACTGATGGCCAATTGGAATTCTAATTGAATTGCATATTCTTTTTAGTGTATATGCTGCAATCAGTTGCTTGGAGACGACCCGCTTTGCTCAGCCGGAGGGTTGTCTGGATTTGTGTTGTGTGTGCGCAAAGTGCCTGTAGTGGGTGGCAACGGCGCCAGTTGCTGGAAGATTGGCAGGCGCGACTGTGAGGCAGCTGCGTTGCCTATGTTGAGGGCCACCTCTGAAGAGGATGAGTGTGTGGCAGCGTCATTTGGTGGAGCGTCGTTGCGACGAGCTGCATCGTTGCGAAGAGCCTCGTATCTGCGTCGGGCTGCTATTCTGCGAAGGTTTTCGCTTGTGTTGCGTGTTGAAGCTGGATACGATCTAGTGAGCCTTGCACTCACAATATTGCGACTGTGCTCACGGAAAGTAATCGGGCCATACACCGGAGGATGACGGCGAAGATAACTAGCACGGAATTCCGCATCTTCTTCAGCTTGTCTTCGCTGTTGTCGCTGAGAGCGCATTTCAATTTCGTTAGCCAGGTGAGTATTTACGAGGCTAGAGTATCTGGGCATTGTTAGTCGCTGTGGGACAAACGGATCATGGGCTATGCTTCTAGCCTCATTGTTGCTATGTACTCGTAGTCGCTCGTAGTACTTTGAGCAGATATTATTAAATTGCTCATCCACAGATAAGACACCAAATTCAGATCTGATGCGAGCATTTGAAACAAAATATTGAGCGCCAGATACAGTTCTCAGTGCTTTGTTTTGTATGACTCTGATGCGATCAAACTGAGTTTCAGACATTTTTTTCTGTTGGTATGTTGCAAAGAACACACAATAATGATCTCCACTCTTCACATCTCATTCATGATCAGCTGTCTAGCAGCTGCATGACGAGGGGAAGAAAGGGTGGAGATACTTTTTATTCAAATAATACTTTACATTAGCATTTCTTAAGAATATAAGTGGCGCCTATTTGATACTTAGAAATATACATTAGGACGATAATTGGCGAAAACTTTCATAATATGATTCATTTTAAATGGCCACTGGTGCATCTAACAATAATAGAGCAGCGTAGTGTTACAATATATATATATAAGAGCAATTTAAAGATAGTAATAGATAACAATAAAGTGCTTAAATGGCTGATTATAGACTAAATTAGTTAGATAAGATATATGATTTACAAAGTAAGAGGTGGCATTATTTAATTTAATTCAATTTTTCATTATTATGCATCCACAAGATGCGCAGAAAAATTTGCCCAAAGTAATGTGGCCAATTTGAATTATAAAGAAAAATCGAGACAAAGTCTGGTCATTTTCTCCATTCTGTGCTTAACCTTTCTGTTTGTATGCCTTGACACACATTAATGATCTCATATTCCCTTTAGTCTCATTCATATTAGCTGTCAATCAGCTAGATGAAGAGGAAGAGAGAAAATAGAGATGCTCTTTATTCATACAATACTTTGACAATAGTATTTTCTTAGAATTAAAATTGCGCCTAAAAGATATCTTTAAAGAATATACATTCGGTCGATATTTTGCGAAACTATGATTAGTTTAAATGGCCACAAGCGCAACAAAAGATAGCAGTGCACCATTGTGATATATGTGTACGTATAAAAGAGCAGATCAGAAGTAGATGACATTGATATGCTTAAATTGCTAGTTGTAAACTAATGAGTTAATATAATTAAATTCATTTTCAGCTGCATCTATGAGATGCGCAGATCAATTAGCTGCCATAATGCCGCCATTCAATTCAAAGAGAAAATTCAAGACAAAGTCTAGTCATTTTCCCCATAGGTTGTTTAAGCTAAATATAGTATTAGTAGTATAAGAGTAATATAATTAATAGTAATAGTTGTTTTCCTTTCAATATTTGATTTTCAATGGGTTTTTCTTTTCATTTTAGCATATTTAATTTAGTTAAAATTTATTAGATACATCGCAAGTGCGATCGTGAAAGTGATAGTGCATCACTGCGTTTATATGTCTATCGATATGCAAAGACAAAACATATGTTGTATAAGCATATGGTGCGAAAAGTGAAGTGCATTAATTGCAAAATTGCAACTGGAAAGTATAGTTTCTAATAAGAATACTAATAAAAGCATTAATAATTGAATATTAATTAATTCATTGTTTTTACAAATTGCAGCAGCTTACTACCAAGTACTAGAGAGTATGTGCACTACAAGGCAGAGATGTGTGTGAAAGCAAGCTAACTGCAAGGTTATGTTAATTATGCAAATGTAAATAAAAGTGTTGATACTTAATATTTTTTGTTTTTCTTTGCAGTATATCATCCAGTGGTACAAGAAGAAGTAGCTGAGAAGACTCCGCGTCCCAAACATCGAGTAGTGCCGCTAGTTTAGTTAAGTGCGTTTGTGTTGATATTAGTCAGTGCACTGTAGTATTTGTTTACTGCATGTATGCCTATACATGCAAAATAAAACTTTAATTGAATATAAATATCCAATTTGAGTTTTATTTGCTAGAATACCCTTTATAGGATATGTGCAGTCGATCCAATTTACAGGTGAGTTGTTGCATATACTGATGGCCAATTGGAATTCTAATTGAATTGCATATTCTTTTTTAGTGTATATGCTGCAATCAGTTGCTTGGAGACGACCCGCTTTGCTCAGCCGGAGGGTTGTCTGGATTTGTGTTGTGTGTGCGCAAAGTGCCTGTAGTGGGTGGCAACGGCGCCAGTTGCTGGAAGATTGGCAGGCGCGACTGTGAGACAGCTGCGTTGCCTATGTTGAGGGCCACCTCTGAAGAGGATGAGTGTGTGGCAGCGTCATTTGGTGGAGCGTCGTTGCGACGAGCTGCATCGTTGCGAAGAGCCTCGTATCTGCGTCGGGCTGCTATTCTGCGAAGGTTTTCGCTTGTGTTGCGTGTTGAAGCTGGATACGATCTAGTGAGCCTTGCACTCACAATATTGCGACTGTGCTCACGGAAAGTAATCGGGCCATACACCGGAGGATGACGGCGAAGATAACTAGCACGGAATTCCGCATCTTCTTCAGCTTGTCTTCGCTGTTGTCGCTGAGAGCGCATTTCAATTTCGTTAGCCAGGTGAGTATTTACGAGGCTAGAGTATCTGGGCATTGTTAGTCGCTGTGGGACAAACGGATCATGGGCTATGCTTCTAGCCTCATTGTTGCTATGTACTCGTAGTCGCTCGTAGTACTTTGAGCAGATATTATTAAATTGCTCATCCACAGATAAGACACCAAATTCAGATCTGATGCGAGCATTTGAAACAAAATATTGAGCGCCAGATACAGTTCTCAGTGCTTTGTTTTGTATGACTCTGATGCGATCAAACTGAGTTTCAGACATTTTTTCTGTTGGTATGTTGCAAAGAACACACAATAATGATCTCCACTCTTCACATCTCATTCATGATCAGCTGTCTAGCAGCTGCATGACGAGGGGAAGAAAGGGTGGAGATACTTTTTATTCAAATAATACTTTACATTAGCATTTCTTAAGAATATAAGTGGCGCCTATTTGATACTTAGAAATATACATTAGGACGATAATTGGCGAAACTTTCATAATATGATTCATTTTAAATGGCCACTGGTGCATCTAACAATAATAGAGCAGCGTAGTGTTACAATATATATATATAAGAGCAATTTAAAGATAGTAATAGATAACAATAAAGTGCTTAAATGGCTGATTATAGACTAAATTAGTTAGATAAGATATATGATTTACAAAGTAAGAGGTGGCATTATTTAATTTAATTCAATTTTTTCATTATTATGCATCCACAAGATGCGCAGAAAAATTTGCCCAAAGTAATGTGGCCAATTTGAATTATAAAGAAAAATCGAGACAAAGTCTGGTCATTTTCTCCATTCTGTGCTTAACCTTTCTGTTTGTATGCCTTGACACACATTAATGATCTCATATTCCCTTTAGTCTCATTCATATTAGCTGTCAATCAGCTAGATGAAGAGGAAGAGAGAAAATAGAGATGCTCTTTATTCATACAATACTTTGACAATAGTATTTTCTTAGAATTAAAATTGCGCCTAAAAGATATCTTTAAAGAATATACATTCGGTCGATATTTTGCGAAACTATGATTAGTTTAAATGGCCACAAGCGCAACAAAAGATAGCAGTGCACCATTGTGATATATGTGTACGTATAAAAGAGCAGATCAGAAGTAGATGACATTGATATGCTTAAATTGCTAGTTGTAAACTAATGAGTTAATATAATTAAATTCATTTTCAGCTGCATCTATGAGATGCGCAGATCAATTAGCTGCCATAATGCCGCCATTCAATTCAAAGAGAAAATTCAAGACAAAGTCTAGTCATTTTCCCCATAGGTTGTTTAAGCTAAATATAGTATTAGTAGTATAAGAGTAATATAATTAATAGTAATAGTTGTTTTCCTTTCAATATTTGATTTTCAATGGGTTTTTCTTTTCATTTTAGCATATTTAATTTAGTTAAAATTTATTAGATACATCGCAAGTGCGATCGTGAAAGTGATAGTGCATCACTGCGTTTATATGTCTATCGATATGCAAAGACAAAACATATGTTGTATAAGCATATGGTGCGAAAAGTGAAGTGCATTAATTGCAAAATTGCAACTGGAAAGTATAGTTTCTAATAAGAATACTAATAAAAGCATTAATAATTGAATATTAATTAATTCATTGTTTTTACAAATTGCAGCAGCTTACTACCAAGTACTAGAGAGTATGTGCACTACAAGGCAGAGATGTGTGTGAAAGCAAGCTAACTGCAAGGTTATGTTAATTATGCAAATGTAAATAAAAGTGTTGATACTTAATATTTTTTGTTTTTCTTTGCAGTATATCATCCAGTGGTACAAGAAGAAGTAGCTGAGAAGACTCCGCGTCCCAAACATCGAGTAGTGCCGCTAGTTTAGTTAAGTGCGTTTGTGTTGATATTAGTCAGTGCACTGTAGTATTTGTTTACTGCATGTATGCCTATACATGCAAAATAAAACTTTAATTGAATATAAATATCCAATTTGAGTTTTATTTGCTAGAATACCCTTTTTATAGGATATGTGCAGTCGATCCAATTTACAGGTGAGTTGTTGCATATACTGATGGCCAATTGGAATTCTAATTGAATTGCATATTCTTTTTTAGTGTATATGCTGCAATCAGTTGCTTGGAGACGACCCGCTTTGCTCAGCCGGAGGGTTGTCTGGATTTGTGTTGTGTGTGCGCAAAGTGCCTGTAGTGGGTGGCAACGGCGCCAGTTGCTGGAAGATTGGCAGGCGCGACTGTGAGGCAGCTGCGTTGCCTATGTTGAGGGCCACCTCTGAAGAGGATGAGTGTGTGGCAGCGTCATTTGGTGGAGCGTCGTTGCGACGAGCTGCATCGTTGCGAAGAGCCTCGTATCTGCGTCGGGCTGCTATTCTGCGAAGGTTTTCGCTTGTGTTGCGTGTTGAAGCTGGATATTTTTTTCTGTTTGTATGCCTTGACAGAACACACATTAATGATCTCATATTCCCTTTAGTCTCATTCATATTAGCTGTCAATCAGCTAGATGAAGAGGAAGAGAGAAAATAGAGATGCTCTTTATTCATACAATACTTTGACAATAGTATTTTCTTAGAATTAAAATTGCGCCTAAAAGATATCTTTAAAGAATATACATTCGGTCGATATTTTGCGAAACTATGATTAGTTTAAATGGCCACAAGCGCAACAAAAGATAGCAGTGCACCATTGTGATATATGTGTACGTATAAAAGAGCAGATCAGAAGTAGATGACATTGATATGCTTAAATTGCTAGTTGTAAACTAATGAGTTAATATAATTAAATTCATTTTCAGCTGCATCTATGAGATGCGCAGATCAATTAGCTGCCATAATGCCGCCATTCAATTCAAAGAGAAAATTCAAGACAAAGTCTAGTCATTTTCCCCATAGGTTGTTTAAGCTAAATATAGTATTAGTAGTATAAGAGTAATATAATTAATAGTAATAGTTGTTTTCCTTTCAATATTTGATTTTCAATGGGTTTTTCTTTTCATTTTAGCATATTTAATTTAGTTCAAATTTATTAGATACATCGCAAGTGCGATCGTGAAAGTGATAGTGCATCACTGCGTTTATATGTCTATCGATATGCAAAGACAAAACATATGTTGTATAAGCATATGGTGCGAAAAGTGAAGTGCATTAATTGCAAAATTGCAACTGGAAAGTATAGTTTCTAATAAGAATACTAATAAAAGCATTAATAATTGAATATTAATTAATTCATTGTTTTTACAAATTGCAGCAGCTTACTACCAAGTACTAGAGAGTATGTGCACTACAAGGCAGAGATGTGTGTGAAAGCAAGCTAACTGCAAGGTTATGTTAATTATGCAAATGTAAATAAAAGTGTTGATACTTAATATTTTTTGTTTTTCTTTGCAGTATATCATCCAGTGGTACAAGAAGAAGTAGCTGAGAAGACTCCGCGTCCCAAACATCGAGTAGTGCCGCTAGTTTAGTTAAGTGCGTTTGTGTTGATATTAGTCAGTGCACTGTAGTATTTGTTTACTGCATGTATGCCTATACATGCAAAATAAAACTTTAATTGAATATAAATATCCAATTTGAGTTTTATTTGCTAGAATACCCTTTATAGGATATGTGCAGTCGATCCAATTTACAGGTGAGTTGTTGCATATACTGATGGCCAATTGGAATTCTAATTGAATTGCATATTCTTTTAGTAGTGTATATGCTGCAATCAGTTGCTTGGAGACGACCCGCTTTGCTCAGCCGGAGGGTTGTCTGGATTTGTGTTGTGTGTGCGCAAAGTGCCTGTAGTGGGTGGCAACGGCGCCAGTTGCTGGAAGATTGGCAGGCGCGACTGTGAGGCAGCTGCGTTGCCTATGTTGAGGGCCACCTCTGAAGAGGATGAGTGTGTGGCAGCGTCATTTGGTGGAGCGTCGTTGCGACGAGCTGCATCGTTGCGAAGAGCCTCGTATCTGCGTCGGGCTGCTATTCTGCGAAGGTTTTCGCTTGTGTTGCGTGTTGAAGCTGGATATTTTTTTCTGTTTGTATGCCTTGACAGAACACACATTAATGATCTCATATTCCCTTTAGTCTCATTCATATTAGCTGTCAATCAGCTAGATGAAGAGGAAGAGAGAAAATAGAGATGCTCTTTATTCATACAATACTTTGACAATAGTATTTTCTTAGAATTAAAATTGCGCCTAAAAGATATCTTTAAAGAATATACATTCGGTCGATATTTTGCGAAACTATGATTAGTTTAAATGGCCACAAGCGCAACAAAAGATAGCAGTGCACCATTGTGATATATGTGTACGTATAAAAGAGCAGATCAGAAGTAGATGACATTGATATGCTTAAATTGCTAGTTGTAAACTAATGAGTTAATATAATTAAATTCATTTTCAGCTGCATCTATGAGATGCGCAGATCAATTAGCTGCCATAATGCCGCCATTCAATTCAAAGAGAAAATTCAAGACAAAGTCTAGTCATTTTCCCCATAGGTTGTTTAAGCTAAATATAGTATTAGTAGTATAAGAGTAATATAATTAATAGTAATAGTTGTTTTCCTTTCAATATTTGATTTTCAATGGGTTTTTCTTTTCATTTTAGCATATTTAATTTAGTTCAAATTTATTAGATACATCGCAAGTGCGATCGTGAAAGTGATAGTGCATCACTGCGTTTATATGTCTATCGATATGCAAAGACAAAACATATGTTGTATAAGCATATGGTGCGAAAAGTGAAGTGCATTAATTGCAAAATTGCAACTGGAAAGTATAGTTTCTAATAAGAATACTAATAAAAGCATTAATAATTGAATATTAATTAATTCATTGTTTTTACAAATTGCAGCAGCTTACTACCAAGTACTAGAGAGTATGTGCACTACAAGGCAGAGATGTGTGTGAAAGCAAGCTAACTGCAAGGTTATGTTAATTATGCAAATGTAAATAAAAGTGTTGATACTTAATATTTTTTGTTTTTCTTTGCAGTATATCATCCAGTGGTACAAGAAGAAGTAGCTGAGAAGACTCCGCGTCCCAAACATCGAGTAGTGCCGCTAGTTTAGTTAAGTGCGTTTGTGTTGATATTAGTCAGTGCACTGTAGTATTTGTTTACTGCATGTATGCCTATACATGCAAAATAAAACTTTAATTGAATATAAATATCCAATTTGAGTTTTATTTGCTAGAATACCCTTTATAGGATATGTGCAGTCGATCCAATTTACAGGTGAGTTGTTGCATATACTGATGGCCAATTGGAATTCTAATTGAATTGCATATTCTTTTTAGTGTATATGCTGCAATCAGTTGCTTGGAGACGACCCGCTTTGCTCAGCCGGAGGGTTGTCTGGATTTGTGTTGTGTGTGCGCAAAGTGCCTGTAGTGGGTGGCAACGGCGCCAGTTGCTGGAAGATTGGCAGGCGCGACTGTGAGGCAGCTGCGTTGCCTATGTTGAGGGCCACCTCTGAAGAGGATGAGTGTGTGGCAGCGTCATTTGGTGGAGCGTCGTTGCGACGAGCTGCATCGTTGCGAAGAGCCTCTTATCTGCGTCGGGCTGCTATTCTGCGAAGGTTTTCGCTTGTGTTGCGTGTTGAAGCTGGATACGATCTAGTGAGCCTTGCACTCACAATATTGCGACTGTGCTCACGGAAAGTAATCGGGCCATACACCGGAGGATGACGGCGAAGATAACTAGCACGGAATTCCGCATCTTCTTCAGCTTGTCTTCGCTGTTGTCGCTGGGAGCGCATTTCAATTTCGTTAGCCAGGTGAGTATTTACGAGGCTAGAGTATCTGGGCATTGTTAGTCGCTGTGGGACAAACGGATCATGGGCTATGCTTCTAGCCTCATTGTTGCTATGTACTCGTAGTCGCTCGTAGTACTTTGAGCAGATATTATTAAATTGCTCATCCACAGATAAGACACCAAATTCAGATCTGATGCGAGCATTTGAAACAAAATATTGAGCGCCAGATACAGTTCTCAGTGCTTTGTTTTGTATGACTCTGATGCGATCAAACTGAGTTTCAGACATTTTTTTCTGTTGGTATGTTGCAGAGAACACACAATAATGATCTCCACTCTTCACATCTCATTCATGATCAGCTGTCTAGCAGCTGCATGACGAGGGGAAGAAAGGGGTGGAGATACTTTTTATTCAAATAATACTTTACATTAGCATTTCTTATGAATATAAGTGGCGCCTATTTGATACTTAGAAATATACATTAGGACGATAATTGGCGAAACTTTCATAATATGATTCATTTTAAATGGCCACTGGTGCATCTAACAATAATAGAGCAGCGTAGTGTTACAATATATATATATAAGAGCAATTTAAAGATAGTAATAGATAACAATAAAGTGCTTAAATGGCTGATTATAGACTAAATTAGTTAGATAAGATATATGATTTACAAAGTAAGAGGTGGCATTATTTAATTTAATTCAATTTTTTCATTATTATGCATCCACAAGATGCGCAGAAAAATTTGCCCAAAGTAATGTGGCCAATTTGAATTATAAAGAAAAATCGAGACAAAGTCTGGTCATTTTCTCCATTCTGTGTTTAACCTTTCTGTTTGTATGCCTTGACAGAACACACATTAATGATCTCATATTCCCTTTCGTCTCATTCATATTAGCTGTCAATCAGCTAGATGAAGAGGAAGAGAGAAAATAGAGATGCTCTTTATTCATACAATACTTTGACAATAGTATTTTCTTAGAATTAAAATTGCGCCTAAAAGATATCTTTAAAAAATATACATTCGGTCGATATTTTGCGAAACTATGATTAGTTTAAATGGCCACAAGCGCAACAAAAGATAGCAGTGCACCATTGTGATATATGTGTACGTATAAAAGAGCAGATCAGAAGTAGATGACATTGATATGCTTAAATTGCTAGTTGTAAACTAATGAGTTAATATAATTAAATTCATTTACAGCTGCATCTATGAGATGCGCAGATTAATTAGCTGCCATAATGCCGCCATTCAATTCAAGGAGAAAATTCAAGACAAAGTCTAGTCATTTTCCCCATAGGTTGTTTAAGCTAAATATAGTATTAGTAGTATAAGAGTAATATAATTAATAGTAATAGTTGTTTTCCTTTCAATATTTGATTTTCAATGGGTTTTTCTTTTCATTTTAGCATATTTAATTTAGTTAAAATTTATTAGATACATCGCAGGTGCGATCGTGAAAGTGATAGTGCATCACTGCGTTTATATGTCTATCGATATGCAAAGACAAAACATATGTTGTAAAAGCATATGGTGCGAAAAGTGAAGTGCATTAATTGCAAAATTGCAACTGGAAAGTATAGTTTCTAATAAGAATACTAATAAAAGCATTAATAATTGAATATTAATTAATTCATTGTTTTTACAAATTGCAGCAGCTTACTACCAAGTACTAGAGAGTATGTGCACTACAAGGCAGAGATGTGTGTGAAAGCAAGCTAACTGCAAGGTTATGTTAATTATGCAAATGTAAATAAAAGTGTTGATACTTAATATTTTTTTGTTTTTCTTTGCAGTATATCATCCAGTGGTACAAGAAGAAGTAGCTGAGAAGACTCCGCGTCCCAAACATCGAGTAGTGCCGCTAGTTTAGTTAAGTGCGTTTGTGTTGATATTAGTCAGTGCACTGTAGTATTTGTTTACTGCATGTATGCCTATACATGCAAAATAAAACTTTAATTGAATATAAATATCCAATTTGAGTTTTATTTGCTAGGAATACCCTTTTATAGGATATGTGCAGTCGATCCAATTTACAGGTGAGTTGTTGCATATACTGATGGCCAATTGGAATTCTAATTGAATTGCATATTCTTTTTTAGTGTATATGCTGCAATCAGTTGCTTGGAGACGACCCGCTTTGCTCAGCCGGAGGGTTGTCTGGATTTGTGTTGTGTGTGCGCAAAGTGCCTGTAGTGGGTGGCAACGGCGCCAGTTGCTGGAAGATTGGCAGGCGCGACTGTGAGGCAGCTGCGTTGCCTATGTTGAGGGCCACCTCTGAAGAGGATGAGTGTGTGGCAGCGTCATTTGGTGGAGCGTCGTTGCGACGAGCTGCATTTTTCTGTTTGTATGCCTTGACAGAACACACATTAATGATCTCATATTCCCTTTAGTCTCATTCATATTAGCTGTCAATCAGCTAGATGAAGATGAAGAGAGAAAATAGAGATGCTCTTTATTCATACAATACTTTGACAATAGTATTTTCTTAGAATTAAAATTGCGCCTAAAAGATATCTTTAAAGAATATACATTCGGTCGATATTTTGCGAAACTATGATTAGTTTAAATGGCCACAAGCGCAACAAAAGATAGCAGTGCACCATTGTGATATATGTGTACGTATAAAAGAGCAGATCAGAAGTAGATGACATTGATATGCTTAAATTGCTAGTTGTAAACTAATGAGTTAATATAATTAAATTCATTTTCAGCTGCATCTATGAGATGCGCAGATCAATTAGCTGCCATAATGCCGCCATTCAATTCAAAGAGAAAATTCAAGACAAAGTCTAGTCATTTTCCCCATAGGTTGTTTAAGCTAAATATAGTATTAGTAGTATAAGAGTAATATAATTAATAGTAATAGTTGTTTTCCTTTCAATATTTGATTTTCAATGGGTTTTTCTTTTCATTTTAGCATATTTAATTTAGTTAAAATTTATTAGATACATCGCAAGTGCGATCGTGAAAGTGATAGTGCATCACTGCGTTTATATGTCTATCGATATGCAAAGACAAAACATATGTTGTATAAGCATATGGTGCGAAAAGTGAAGTGCATTAATTGCAAAATTGCAACTGGAAAGTATAGTTTCTAATAAGAATACTAATAAAAGCATTAATAATTGAATATTAATTAATTCATTGTTTTTACAAATTGCAGCAGCTTACTACCAAGTACTAGAGAGTATGTGCACTACAAGGCAGAGATGTGTGTGAAAGCAAGCTAACTGCAAGGTTATGTTAATTATGCAAATGTAAATAAGAGTGTTGATACTTAATATTTTTTGTTTTTCTTTGCAGTATATCATCCAGTGGTACAAGAAGAAGTAGCTGAGAAGACTCCGCGTCCCAAACATCGAGTAGTGCCGCTAGTTTAGTTAAGTGCGTTTGTGTTGATATTAGTCAGTGCACTGTAGTATTTGTTTACTGCATGTATGCCTATACATGCAAAATAAAACTTTAATTGAATATAAATATCCAATTTGAGTTTTATTTGCTAGAATACCCTTTATAGGATATGTGCAGTCGATCCAATTTACAGGTGAGTTGTTGCATATACTGATGGCCAATTGGAATTCTAATTGAATTGCATATTCTTTTTTTAGTGTATATGCTGCAATCAGTTGCTTGGAGACGACCCGCTTTGCTCAGCCGGAGGGTTGTCTGGATTTGTGTTGTGTGTGCGCAAAGTGCCTGTAGTGGGTGGCAACGGCGCCAGTTGCTGGAAGATTGGCAGGCGCGACTGTGAGGCAGCTGCGTTGCCTATGTTGAGGGCCACCTCTGAAGAGGATGAGTGTGTGGCAGCGTCATTTGGTGGAGCGTCGTTGCGACGAGCTGCATTTTTCTGTTTGTATGCCTTGACAGAACACACATTAATGATCTCATATTCCCTTTAGTCTCATTCATATTAGCTGTCAATCAGCTAGATGAAGAGGAAGAGAGAAAATAGAGATGCTCTTTATTCATACAATACTTTGACAATAGTATTTTCTTAGAATTAAAATTGCGCCTAAAAGATATCTTTAAAGAATATACATTCGGTCGATATTTTGCGAAACTATGATTAGTTTAAATGGCCACAAGCGCAACAAAAGATAGCAGTGCACCATTGTGATATATGTGTACGTATAAAAGAGCAGATCAGAAGTAGATGACATTGATATGCTTAAATTGCTAGTTGTAAACTAATGAGTTAATATAATTAAATTCATTTTCAGCTGCATCTATGAGATGCGCAGATCAATTAGCTGCCATAATGCCGCCATTCAATTCAAAGAGAAAATTCAAGACAAAGTCTAGTCATTTTCCCCATAGGTTGTTTAAGCTAAATATAGTATTAGTAGTATAAGAGTAATATAATTAATAGTAATAGTTGTTTTCCTTTCAATATTTGATTTTCAATGGGTTTTTCTTTTCATTTTAGCATATTTAATTTAGTTAAAATTTATTAGATACATCGCAAGTGCGATCGTGAAAGTGATAGTGCATCACTGCGTTTATATGTCTATCGATATGCAAAGACAAAACATATGTTGTATAAGCATATGGTGCGAAAAGTGAAGTGCATTAATTGCAAAATTGCAACTGGAAAGTATAGTTTCTAATAAGAATACTAATAAAAGCATTAATAATTGAATATTAATTAATTCATTGTTTTTACAAATTGCAGCAGCTTACTACCAAGTACTAGAGAGTATGTGCACTACAAGGCAGAGATGTGTGTGAAAGCAAGCTAACTGCAAGGTTATGTTAATTATGCAAATGTAAATAAGAGTGTTGATACTTAATATTTTTTGTTTTTCTTTGCAGTATATCATCCAGTGGTACAAGAAGAAGTAGCTGAGAAGACTCCGCGTCCCAAACATCGAGTAGTGCCGCTAGTTTAGTTAAGTGCGTTTGTGTTGATATTAGTCAGTGCACTGTAGTATTTGTTTACTGCATGTATGCCTATACATGCAAAATAAAACTTTAATTGAATATAAATATCCAATTTGAGTTTTATTTGCTAGAATACCCTTTATAGGATATGTGCAGTCGATCCAATTTACAGGTGAGTTGTTGCATATACTGATGGCCAATTGGAATTCTAATTGAATTGCATATTCTTTTTAGTGTATATGCTGCAATCAGTTGCTTGGAGACGACCCGCTTTGCTCAGCCGGAGGGTTGTCTGGATTTGTGTTGTGTGTGCGCAAAGTGCCTGTAGTGGGTGGCAACGGCGCCAGTTGCTGGAAGATTGGCAGGCGCGACTGTGAGGCAGCTGCGTTGCCTATGTTGAGGGCCACCTCTGAAGAGGATGAGTGTGTGGCAGCGTCATTTGGTGGAGCGTCGTTGCGACGAGCTGCATCGTTGCGAAGAGCCTCTTATCTGCGTCGGGCTGCTATTCTGCGAAGGTTTTCGCTTGTGTTGCGTGTTGAAGCTGGATACGATCTAGTGAGCCTTGCACTCACAATATTGCGACTGTGCTCACGGAAAGTAATCGGGCCATACACCGGAGGATGACGGCGAAGATAACTAGCACGGAATTCCGCATCTTCTTCAGCTTGTCTTCGCTGTTGTCGCTGAGAGCGCATTTCAATTTCGTTAGCCAGGTGAGTATTTACGAGGCTAGAGTATCTGGGCATTGTTAGTCGCTGTGGGACAAACGGATCATGGGCTATGCTTCTAGCCTCATTGTTGCTATGTACTCGTAGTCGCTCGTAGTACTTTGAGCAGATATTATTAAATTGCTCATCCACAGATAAGACACCAAGTTCAGATCTGATGCGAGCATTTGAAACAAAATATTGTTTTCTGTTCGTATGTTACAAGAGAACACACATTGATGATCTCCGCTTCTTCGCATCTCATACATGATCAGCTGACCAGCAGCTGCATGGCGAGGGGAAGATAGTACGGAGATACTTTTTATTCAATTAATACTTCACAATAGCATTTCTTATGAATATAAATAGCGCCTATGAGATAATTAAAATCTAAAAAAGGACTATATTTGTCGAAACTTATCATTAAATGATTAAATTTAAATGGCCATAAGTGCACAAAAATAACAGTGCAGCTTAATTTTACAAAATACTTATAATAGAGCAATTTAAAGATAATAGAAATTAACAATAAGGTGCTTGAGTAACTGATTAACGACTAAATAGATAAGTAAGATTTAAGTTTAACAATAGTAATAGATGGCATTAATTAATATAATTCAATTATTTCATTAATAAGCATCTACAAGATGCACAGAGAAAAGTAGCCCAAAGTGGCCAATTGGAATAAAAGAGAAAAGTCGAGACAAAGTCTGGTCATTTTCTCAAGTATGGGCTTGAGCTAAAATTAGCTTAAATTACAAAAAGTTAAAACAGCTGATTGGAGATTGCATTAAATGCAAATTTTATGACTGATCCATATGTGATCTAAATAGGACCCTATAGGCAGCAAGTGGTGATGGTGGTGGTAGTGGCAGCGGCATTGGCGCAATACCCTCGAAGACAGGTAGTCGTTGCGGCTGTTGGGCTGCTGCTTGTGCAGCTTCGTTGTGTTGCTGAGCCTCCCGTCGGCGAAGGAATCGCTCCCTACTTTCAGCTATTTCATCGGCCTCCCGTTGTAGTAGTCGCTGGGTGCGTAGAGCAATGTCATTGGCCAAATGCGTGTTTACGAGACTCGTGTATCTTGCCAATGTTATCCGCTGTGGGATGAACGGGTCATAGGCAATGTTTTTGGCCAGATTGTTGCTATGAGCGCGAAGTCTGTCGTAGTATTTTGCGCAGAGATTATTGAGTATCTCATCTGCAGACAAGACGTCCAGTTCAGTTCTGATGCGAGTGTTCGAGATAAAGTACTGAGCACCAGAAATGGCTCTCAGAGCTTTATTGTGAACCACTCTAATGCGGCTGAATTGGGTCTCAGATAGTAGAGCACCCCATACAGGTAGCGAGTATTGCCATAATGGGGCAACTAGCTGCTTGTATATGATGACTTTAGTTCTAAGCGACAATTTACTGTCCTTGTTGATGAGCCAATCTATCTTTTTAAGTCTAGCCCTGACCCTAGTAACGACCGTAGTGACATGTTGTGAGAAGCGCAGTTTAGAATCTAGAGTAACGCCCAAATACGGATGTGAAGTGCCATTTTCAATAGTTTCGTTGCCAATGCGAATAGCCTGATATGGCGCTATAACTCTGTATGCATGCATGACATGCATAGTTTTATTTGCATTAATTGTAATGCACCACTTGCTCGCCCATTCGGCCAAACTATCCATATAAGCTTGCTGCTGACTGAGCGCATCTGCTTGGCGAGAGTCTGCCGATAGAACAATGACGTCATCAGCATAAGTAGCAATCAAAATCCCACGTAGACGAGTTGGCCTTGGTATGTCGCTGGTGTATATATTATACAAGATTGGCCCGAGCAAGCTACCTTGTGGCACACCGGCGTGAATTTGCTTGATTCCTGAGCGACAGCCACCGTGACACTCAACAATAAAAGTGCGATCTGCTAGATAGCAGCAGAGGATGCGATAGAGAGCATCTGGCAGTAACTTCTTAAGCTTATACTTCAAGCCTGTATGCCACACTCGATCAAAGGCTTCTTTGATGTCCATATACACAGCAGAGCAGTATTTGTGGTCATCAAACGCTTTAATAATGTATTGGGTGACTCGACCCAATTGCTGTTCAGCTGAATGCGCCTTGCGGAAACCAAACTGATGGTTTGGAATCGCATTTACAAGAGTGTCTTCATCCAGCATACGGCTCAAAATCAGATACTCGAGTATCTTTGAGAGGCCAGATAGCAGACTTATGGGCCTGTATGATGCAACATGGTGCGTAGGCTTGCCAGGCTTATGCACCATCTTCACCACTGCTAACTTCCAGCTCGAGGGGAAATGACTCAATCTAAGAGAGTTATTGCATATCATAACAAGATACAAAACAGCCTTCAATGGCAGCGCTTTGATGGTGTGATTATCGATTTGGTCCATTCCAGCCGCTTTCTTGCTCTCTAGTGTGCTGATGTGACTGATGACTTCAGCCGCAGTGACTGGCCGAAATGAGACTGAAGCAGTCAAAGATGGCTGGCTAACTTGAGCCTCGATTTCAGCCAGAACACTGGGTGGCGTAGTCACGATTGGTTGAAAACGCTGCTCGAGACTTGCAGCAAATGTTTCGGCCTTCTCGGCAGTTGTCTTGCACCAGACATTTTGCGCATTGGAGCCATTGTCACTAGAGGACTTCAACAGGGGTAGATTTGGAGCAGGCTGTCGCTTGATTTCGTTGGTCAGGCGCCAGAGTTTTTGCATACTATATCTATCGGTTGGATCGATAGATCTGAATAGCTCTTCCTCATACTTCTGCCTAGCATATATGAGCTCTTTGCGTATGCGATTCGATAGCCTGTTGCAGAGCATCTTAAGCATCGGATTGCGACTTCGAGTCAGATAGCGCTTGACTTGCTTATGGGCCTCGATGAGATGCAGAGTCTGTCTATTTACGCGATATCTAGTCCTCATAATCTTGCGTGGGTGCTGTGCATTCGCATAGTTTGCAGCATCTTCAATGTTTCGGACAAAAATATTGACCGCATCATCAATATCGTCTAAACTGTTGATCTCAGTGTTGAGCAAAATTTTGTCATTTAGATAGCTCTGAAATTTGTTGATGTTAGCATTCAAATCTAGCAAGTGGCCTTTTGCTCTGCTGGTGACAGGCTTCTCAACCAGCTGGACTTGCAACGGGAGATGATCAGAGCTAAGCTCGAAAGAGTCAGTGATGGCCAGCAAATCTCGCCTGATGCCTTTAAAAAGCGCAAAGTCAATGGCAGACGGAGTTTGGCGTGAATTAAACGGAAAATGGGTGGGCGACCCAGTTGCCAGAATGTTGCAATTCACTTGTAGAATACTATTGACTAGCGTTCGGCCACGGAGACAAGATCTGGCGTTGCCCCACCACTGACTTTTCGCATTCCAGTCACCACCGACTATAAAAGTGTCACCCAGAGAAGATAGCAGGTTGTTGAAATCTTGCCCAGACCAGATAACTTGCGGCGGGCAGTAGATTGAGGCAATATTAATGTGACGGCCATTTTGCAGGCTGACTGAGACTTCGACAGATTGATGCGAGTCGTTAGATGTAAAGCGCATAGCATAATGGCATATCTGTTGTTTAATTATAAAGGCTGCACCTCCTCTGCGCCTGTTTGAGGGGTGATTTGCTAAATAAACAATGTAACCATTGATAGCAATACTATCGCTATCAGTCAGATGCGTTTCGGACACTAGCATTATGTCTATATCATGTTTAACGAGATACAGGTTGAGCTCATTCAGTTTGTTCTTGACACCGGCGGCATTCCAGAAAGATATGTTCATGTTGTTGACACGTTGAGATACAGCAGGTTGCAGTGCAGCGCTGCGTCTACTGGCATTTGGGGAAGTGGATACATTGTTAGACATTTGAGCGCTCATTGGGACCAAATCCAGCCAACAGGCAGGCCGTGAGGGTGGTCATCATCTCAATGAGTTTGTCTATTTTAGCCTCTAATCTAAAGCTAACTTGCACTGGCATACTTGGCACATTCGCATTCATTGGCTGCTCGAAACGTTGAAAATGAACACCCCCACTAACAGGATGCGCACCCCCATCTATTGGTTGCGGATGCCTACGGCGCGTACTCAGACTACGGCTACGTTTTGGCTGCGGCGGCCGCTGTGCGCTTGCCTGCCTAGGCAAACGGACTTGTTGCTGCTGCTGTTGTTGTTGCTGGCTAACTTTGGTGGCTTTTTGCCTCGACTGACGCTGTTTGCTGCTAATAGCTGCCGGTCCGACAGGCTGAGCAAATTGTAGGCCCGCCCGAAGGGCAGCCGAATAACTGGGCCCTGCACTAACAGTTTGCGGTCGTGACTGAGGGGGGGCTTGCTGCAAAAGATTTGGCATATTAGACATATTTGGCATGTTTACTCGACTGCTCTGAGCAGTTACAGTCGGAGCAGCCTTAGCTAGAGTGTTAATTATCTTTGCTAGCTGCGTAGCACTCTCATTTTCACGCTTCTTGCACGCTTCTTTATACGCAGGGCAGCCTTTGTAGCTCGCGGCATGCGGGCCGGAGCAATTGGCACACTTCGCTGGAGTTTGGTCGTCTTTTTGCTTGCCACAGTCCGTGGAAGCATGATTGGCGCCGCACTTGACGCAGGCAAAGGGGCGACGGCAGTAATTTTTTGTATGCCCAAACTTTTGGCACCTATGGCATTGAGCAATTTCATTCGTTTTATACGGCCGCTCAATCTTGACACGCTGGTTGCCAATGGCCGTAATTTGCAGCAATTCTGCGTTATTATCGCTGACGGCCAGCTCAACCTCAAAGAGATCGAGGGGCTCTTTAGAAAAGCGAGACTTAATGCCTCTTAAGAAGCGGACTTCGTGCCCTAATTTGGCCAATTGCTCACGGATATAGTGATCCGGAGTGGAGAAGTGCAGATGCCGAATAACAGCTCTATAGCCGCGCTCGCATTTCAATTGAAATGTGTAATTTTCAATTGAATTTGCGTCGAGATATCTTACCAGCTTGCGGTGCGTGGCGACGTCCTTGCACTGGACACGAATGCCGTGGTTAGCAGCAGGCTTGGTGGAGTAATTGTCCTGGCCAATAGCGTCATCCAGGCGTATTAGCAGAGGCATAATATCCGTCACGTTGGCGATAAATAGCGGCGCTGGCTTTGCACTCGGTTGCGCACGGCTGGCTCCGTATGTCTAGATTGATCTCTAGACGGCCCGGATGGCGGCGTCTGCCGGGGGCTCCACTGCCGCACACGCACGAAACTCTAAGTCGGATCGACACTCGACACTCGGCTCGGTGCGCACTCGCTGCCGCTCACTCGGACGACTCCAGGGAAACTGGACTGCCCAGCGCCTCCACCAGATTTTTGAGTACCGATTCGGCCGATTTACTCAAAGCAGTTCCAATCCCCGATCCCAATTCCAATTCCAATTGGAAATGGAAATGGAAATGGAACCGGAGACGGGAAAAGCCCTGAGCAAATCGATTGTCCACCGACTGTGATGGCCGGTAGATGGCCGAATGGGTAGGCGCTAGACAGTCGCTAGAATCCATATCTATCCCATTATTATACCTAGTATGTTTAAACTGGAATGAATTGGCGCCCAAATTAAATTAAGGGAATGTTATCTAACAGGGCTCAACTGGCTAAACAATGATATTAACAGCCGCGCAGGGCTGCCATATCTTATTAAACTACTTAACATAAATGCGAATGTAAAGTGTGTATGTACAAGTGTGTGTGTGTGTGTGTATGAGTGAGTGAATGAATATGTAAATCTACAAGAAATTGCGTTGCGCGAAAAATCAAAAACTAATAGCTACAATCAAAAAGTGAGCGAATTAACATTAATAGTGATTAATTAAATTAAACTAAATACTAACTATACTAAAATACTACTAATGAAAAGAAACTGACTTATAATACTACTAATATTGAGTGTGTGTGTGTGTGTTGTACTATATTTACAGGTTGTTTTTCATGTGATGGCTGCTCGACCGGTGGAGGGGGGACGAACACGAACATCAGAGGCTGGCAATCAAGGAGTGATGCAGCAGATCAGTGGCGACATCCAGCGGGACATCCAAGGAGTACAGGTAAGTAGTAGGAGTGGATTCATCAGGTGAGTATATATTTAGAGTAGCAATTGTGTGTACAACTCTAATTCTGTTGTTTACTTGCAGCATCAACTGGAATTTTACAAGTGAGACTGGCAGTGGAACCAGCCATGTAATCAGCAACAGAACTGGCACTTGGGTGGCCAGCACCAGCTGCTGCATTGACTGCAGTTGCATCCACAACTGCAATGGATATGGACATCGACATCTTCATCAGCGGAGGCGGAGGCGGCGTCCAGAGTGAAGTTGCCAGCCCGGAGACTGGTATGAGGCGCCAGCAGTGCAATATGCACCACCAACACCAGCATCGGCAACAGGATCATCGGCGTCATCAACATCAGTGGAAATGGCGCAGACATCAAGTGGCTTCAGCATCATTAGCTCTGGTGCGAGCGAATGCAAAATGTCGTGTCATGGGCAAATGCATGCAGCCTGTCATCTAGCTGCAAGCCCATACACATTGAATGGCCAATTGTCGCCCACAATAAGACGACAAGTATCGAGTAATCACGTCGATTTAAAGCTAATGAACAATTGTGTTTGTACTGTCTTCTTCTTCTCATTTTCACCATGCGCAATTGCGACAAGAGTGCGTTAGATAATAAGGAGGAGTGGATTGCTACTGGGTGAGTATTGATATTATTATTATTATTGTTAAGTGAAGTGGGTGAGTGTAGAAAATTATAGTAGTTGAATTAGGTTTGTATAGGCTATAAGAACAGGTAGTCATTATATATTTGGGGTCTTATTTGCGATTTGTTGCCTGCTACTGCTAATGCTGGCAGACAAGCAGGTTGTTAGCGCGGACATCATATCTATTAGACGATCCAGCTTGTTGACGATAGCCTTGTTGATGGCTGAATTAGCATTCTCAATTGAATTTGAATTTGCATTTGCATTTGGATGCTTGCGTTCGAGCAGCATTAGGCCAATCAATTGATCTAGCTTCTTTTCAATACTGCTCGTATTATCCCTGGCACCTAGATATTGATGAGTCGGGAGGAGTTGCTGCACTTGCTGCCTCTGCTGCTGCACCTGCTGCTGCTGCTGCTGCTGCTGCTGCTGCTGCTGCTGCTGCTGCTGCTGCACTTGTTGCTGCTGCACTTGTTGCTGCACTTGTTGCTGCTGCACTTGCTGCTGTTGAAGTAGTAGTTGCAGCTGTAGTTGCTGCATATTTTGAGGCTGAATGCGTTGAATTTGCTGATGCTGCTGCTTTTGCTGCTTTTGCTGCATTCGCTGCTGCGGCCAAACACTTGGCTGTTTCACATTTAGTCCAAGTTTAAGTGCGTCGGCATAGCTGCCAACCATAGCGTTGCTCAGATTTAGTGGCTGCTTGGGCTGCTGATTGAACTGTAGCTGATTGACCTGTTGTTGTGTAGTCTTCTTCTTCGCCCTCTTCTTTGTCTTGATTGGCTGCTGCTGCTGCTGCTGCTGCTGCTGCTGCTGCTGCTGCTGCTGCTGCTGCTGCTGCTGCTGCTGCTGCTGCTGCTGCTGCTGCTGCTGCTGCTGTAGTTGCTGCTGCTGCTGCTGCTGCTGCTGTAGTAGTTGCTGCTGCTGCTGCTGCTGCTGTAGTATATGCAGCTGTTGTTGCTGTTTGCTAGCATTTGCGGCCTTGTTCAGGTGTCTTTTAATAATAGCCGCTGTTGCAGCATTATTATTATTGCGATTTGACGACTGAGGATTCGCTGTCGCTTTTGTTTGACGCGCCAATTCGGCGACTAGTTTTGAGGCTTGCTGGAAGCCTTGTTGATTGGCCATCTTTTGCTTGCAGGCCTCTTTGAAAGCAATGCAGCCGCGATAGCTTGCCGCATGCTCTCCCAAACAATTGGCGCATTTAGCCGGCTGGCTAACATCGCCCTTTGCTCGTCCGCAATCAGTGGATGCATGGCTGCCGCTGCACTTGACGCACACGAATGGCCGGCGGCAATAGTTCTTCGTGTGGCCGAATTTTTGACATCGATGGCATTGCACCGCATCGGCGTTGCGCAATATCCTCTCGATTTTGACTCTCTGGCCACCCAAGCACTCAATGTTCAGAACATTTGTGCTGTTTGGAGCGGCCACCACTTCAACCTCGAACAGGTCAAGAGGCTGGCGAGTGAATCGCTTCTTGATTACACTGACAAATCTGACCGTATGGCCCAGATCTGTCAGTTGTTGACGAATCCAATCTGTTGGCGTCGAGCGATGCAGATAGCGTATGCAAAATCTAAATCCTCGATCCGCTGCCAATTGATAGGTGTGCGATACAATTCTCTCCTGAGCGAAGTGATGCACAAGTTTGCGATATGCCGCAATATTGGCGCATTGAATGCGCAGACCTTGCCCAGCTGTCGGTTTGGTGTAGAAATTTGCCGTACCGATCGCCTTCTTAATCCCCCTCCAGTACTGGCATTATGTCTGGCACAAACGGCAAGTACAATGGTGTTGGCCGATTCTTGCGACCACCATTCACATTCACATTGCCATTGGCATTCGTATTGGCATTGTCATTGTCATCGATGACCTCATCCTCATCCACCTCATCGTCATCGTCATCGTCATTGAGATCTTCATCCATTTCAATATCATTAACAGCATTTGCATCAACATCATCATCATCAATTGACAATTGACACTTGTTGTTGCTCTTGCTGTTGATGTTTGTATTATTGGCTCCATCTGTTGGCCGCTGATCAGTTGCAGCTTTGTTAGGATTTGCAGCAACCAATTTGCGCGCAGCTGCCATGGCGGCAGCTTTCTTAGATGTGGTCGGGGCATCTTCATCAACAATATCGGATGCAACAATCAGTTGCTTTTTGAAAATCATTGCAGACAGCTTTCGGTTAGCTGGTGCATTGCTGGCAGCCATTTTACGGCACGTTGCCACTGCCGAGGCAGACAGTGGAGGTGGCGGCTTGATACATTTATTAGCCTCGCTGCCGCTAAATAAATGATTCAGCATTTCATTTACATCAGCAGAGGGAAACTCATCGGATCCATCAGCGAATAAGTGACTGACTATCTCATCATGATCAGCTGCAGCTGCTGCTGCTGCTGATTGTTGTGAAGCTGAATTGCAATCCATATTCAATTTCAAATTGAACTTGGATTTGGATTGAGACTTGGATTGAGACTTGGAATTAGATTTGCTTTTGGTTGAAGAATCGGCTACAATTGCAGTGGAAATTGTAGCAGAATTTGAAGTGGCTTTTGCAGTTGACAAAGTTGCTCGAGTAGATGACGTTGGATTGCCACCAACGCCATCACTCGACAATTGTTCGCATCTCTGCAGAACTTTCAGCAGCTCGTCATCATCGATGGTGGTGATGTCGTTGCTATTGACGCTGTTGTTGCTGTTGTTGTGGAGCTTGTTGGAGCAATCAGCTTCCGATAGTAGCTGAAAGCTATTGCCGAAGTTGGCGTCCTTTTTAGCCGCCATTTTCTTATTAGATTTCGAATTTGATTTTGATGTCTTTGATTTAGGGCTATTTCCCTGATTACTAGCTGGCCTCTTGTTCGAGATTAGCGCCTCATTGTGCATCTCGAGTTTTTGTAGCAGCTGCTGCTGCTCATCCTGCTGCCTCTGCTGCCTCTGCTGCTTGTGCATTTGCTGCTCCTGGGCCAGCATTGCGTGCATCGCACGCGCCAGCACAGTGGCAGCATTCTCATTGGCCTGACCATTATTACAATTGCTATTGCCACCAACCTGATTTGGCCCACTCGCCTCGTGCAAGCCAATTCCAGCCAGTAGATAATCGTCAAGGGAATCAACATCAACGTCGTCATCATCATCATCATCCACCTCCTCCTCATCATACACATCATCCACAAACAACTCCTCGTCAGCGCCAGTCTCGTCATGGTCGGCGAGACTGCCCGAGAGTGCGTTGTACATGATCGTTTGATTAGGCCACTGGACACACGTACGCCGACAGTTATTAGATTGTTAGATGTCACTAGTAGAAATATCCACTAAATTTAGTAGAAATAGTTGTTGGAGTCTCTGTCTCGGATTAATAGCAGTTTTGAATAATTCACAAAAACAAAAAGAAACAAGTAAGAAAGCTCTAGTCGAGACTGCTCGACTACGAGATCCCCTGAACCCTTGGAGCAATAGATATTTCAATACTTTTTCGCGACTTTCAGCTTACCCAAGAAACACGCACACACACACACACGCACGTACGCACACACAGGCATACATACACAAACGCATACACACACACACATACACACACACATACACAAACACATACACACACAAGCAACCACGCATAAACACGCATGGGCTGCAGTGTGCGCTTACTATGAGAACTTAATTGTTTAATAACTTTTTTTATGGACGTACGACCTTCATGAAACTTTTAGATTATGATTATAACATGAATATGCATGTAATTGCCAAAGCACAAGTCTCTAGTATTTGAAATACGCTTTTTACAAAAGTGAGGGTGAGGGGGTGAATTTAGAGGTGGGGGGTAAATTTTAACAAAAACCGAAATTGTATAAATTGCATATAAGCATACATTAAAAATTTGGAGACTCTAGCAATAAAGGTGTAGAAGATATAATTTTATAACTGGGTTTCGATAAGGTTTTTTATCGATAAAAAAAGATCGAGATGAGTTATCGATTTTTAATGATAAACTTGATATGCGCGCTGTAATTACGGACATTTTAAAAAAAATTTGAAGTCTCTAGCTCTTATATCTTCTGAAATCGACGCGTTCATACATACGGACAGACGGACAGGGCCAAATCAACTCAGCTCGTCACCCTGATCAAGAATATATATACTTTGTGGGGTCTGCCACGCCTCCTTCTGCCTGTTACATACATTTCAACAAAACCATTATACCCTGATTTCCCATTGAAAATGGGTTCAGGGTATAAAAACACTAGATTTTCACTTTTAATTATTGGCTGCGATTTATTCATGTAATTATTGACTTTTATATTTTCAGATTTTTGTCCGTATGTCTAGATTGATCTCTATTTTGTCCGTATGTCTAGATTCATCTCTAGACGGCCCGGATGGCGGCGTCTGCCGGGGGCTCCACTGCCGCACACGCACGAAACTCTAAGTCGACACTCGGCTCGGTGCGCACTCGCTGCCGCTCACTCGGACGACTCCAGGGAAACTGGACTGCCCAGCGCCTCCACCAGATTTTTGAGTACCGATTCGGCCGATTTACTCAAAGCAGTTCCAATCCCCGATCCCAATTCCAATTCCAATTGGAAATGGAAATGGAAATGGAACCGGAGACGGGAAAAGCCCTGAGCAAATCGATTGTCCACCGACTGTGATGGCCGGTAGATGGCCGAATGGGTAGGCGCTAGACAGTCGCTAGAATCCATATCTATCCCATTATTATACCTAGTATGTTTAAACTGGAATGAATTGGCGCCCAAATTAAATTAAGGGAATGTTATCTAACAGGGCTCAACTGGCTAAACAATGATATTAACAGCCGCGCAGGGCTGCCATATCTTATTAAACTACTTAACATAAATGCGAATGTAAAGTGTGTATG